GGAAAACAACCTCCAAGAACACCATTCCTTCATCAAGAATAGACTTGCTATAATTCCTCATACAATTAAATGAGAACCAATAGTACACTTAGCCTATGTAAATGGTTTAATTACAATCACCATTCAATGGGTGGGCTTGATTGATTATAGCATGAAAGAGCACACAGATGTATTTTATGAAGAAGTTATTAAAATACAAATTAATTTAGTTTAATATGGCAGATTTGGGATTGCACAAAGGAACTTCATGTCACAAATTGTAAGACAATATTAAAAGTATTGCTACAAAACAAACAAACAAACAAAAAAAAAACCCCTGATCCACTGAAAAAACAAAGGCAAACATTCATCTATGTAAAAAAACCCCAAAATAAATAAAACTAGTTTCAAGAAATGACTGCATCTCCTGTAATTCTAATTTCAGATCATGTAAGCTTTTCTGCTTCTGGACAGGTTGTCAACAGGAGTCAACAGCAGGAGCAAGTTGCTGTTAAAAAACAGACCTCATTTTCAACTGTCCAGCTACATCTTTGTCTAAAAGTAGAAATATTTCCCATATAGAAGTTGCAGGACCACCTTTTAAAACTTGCTTCATTTTAGAATTGAATTATATTCTTTAATCTCCTATTGTGAAGCAGATTTTTGTGGCCTTGAATCAGTGCAGGTCTTCCTCAGAATCCTTTCATATTTATCAATATCCCTTATGAAGGCCAGATAACAGAACTAGGCAGTTCGTGCAGCCTGTCATTGCTCTGCAAGGCAAAACCAACTTCTTGCTGTTATTCAATAACCTCCACTTAGACATGAATAAGGATCACATTTTGCTCCCTTAGGCTACTGCATTGCTCTGAAAACTTAGACCTATCTCATTAAAATTCCAAGGTTCTTCTAAGAGTTACCACTTCCTAAACATATTTATATCTTTACACATACAAATGTCTTTCTACGGAGTATCCTACAAGGCACCTTGAGGACAAAAACATCTACACAGTATCAGTAGCTTGATTTCAAGATCAACACAACTGAAAAAAAGGGAAAATACAGACATTGCTGTTACACTCTGTTCTCTCAAATCACTGTTCTCCAGTATGCTTCACAGAAATGGAATTTGCTTGAATTAAAATACAAATAATGAAAGTCCGTGTATAAAACTTATATTAAGAAATAGAAATAGAAATAGAAATTGATCCATTTTTTTCTGCAGGATTTTATAAAGAAGATTGAAACATGGGAGCAAAACATAACTCATACAATTGTATGCAAGTTAAAGGATTTTTTTAGGTCAATACTAAATATTCATCTGATTTGCATAAAAGAAAAACTACTCTCAAGGAATATCTAGTTCATGGAATGAAAGTTTTATTTATTGCAATTAATTCTGCACAACTTTTTATGCTTTGATTTTGCAATTTTTATTTAGTCCTTTTGATACTGTTGCCTGATAGGCTTTAATAAATTAAAAATTCATTTTGTGTACCCACAGCATCCTCTTTCTTGAATTATACATATAAACATATTAGTTAATTCATATTTTAAGATTATAGTTCAATTAATACTTAAAAGCTGGCACTACCAACAAATGAAGAGCTCTGCCATTTTTTTCCCCTCTGGGTATCCCTTCCTTAAAAGCATTAATTCATCAAATCATAGCTAGAGGCAGCAAAATCAATATTCAAGGGTAACTGCAGGAAACTTTGTTTCAGGTTTCCTTTTTCAAGTTATCTTTCATCTCAGTGGCTTGTAGGCCTAATGGGAAGGAGTACATACTGTTATTTAAAGCATGTAGATGGCTTCTTTATTTGCACATCCCAAGAAATGCAGATAGAACTTCTAACTGTACATTAATCTGTCCTTTCTCTTAATCTGTTTTCTTTTTCCATTTATTGTACAATTCCATTTTTTTTATCTAGTTATTTTATAGTCCTCTTTCAATGTATTATTGGGGAATGCCACTGTAACATCATAAATCAGCAACTAAAAAATTATAAGAAGAGGCCTCCTCTGTTTTAGCATGTTGCAATGACAACAGAACGTTATGACCTGACTAAATAATTATTTTAAAGAACATTAATCAAAAATTTCATTATAAATATGTCTTCACAAGTTCCCTATATTTTGGCTCTTATTACTAAGAAATCATTCATGCTTCTTATAAAAATTCCTACCTAAATTATTAATGAACAGTTTGACCATTGAAATCAAAGGAAAAATTAACTACAAGATGCAATTACAGGCAAGACAAAATTTTAAAATTAAAAAGAGCATGCATACCATCATCTCTTATTAAGATTTTTTTTTCTCTAGAATGACTGTATGACTGAAACAAAGGAAAATGAGAAATTATGCCATGGTGTGAAATAACTGCTCTATTCACAAAAACCTGTGATAGAATTCTCAATCTTTTAATATGCTTAAACTAGAAACGCTGAACTTGATTATAGAAATGCCATGTCAAACACAAAGAACAATTCCTGCCAGACATGACACGAGCTGAGATGATCTCTAATTCTCCTCACAGATAAGAATATGCTTTACTAATCTTCTGATATCAGATTAATATCAGCTTGCTTATTTAAATTCACCCTACTTCCCAAATTCCAAAACCAAGCTTAGCTTCTATGCCTAGTTAGGAGAGGACTGGACAAACAAAATTTCAGAAATATATGTATTCTCAGCTTATATAAGCTTCTTAATTCTTTGTAGAAGATAGTAATATCTAAATTGTTTCTCTGAAGATAAATTTCAGAAACTTCCAAATTTTGTGCTGCTAATAAAACTAAAATAAAAGTGTCAAGTAGAGGCAATTTAATTAAAAAGAGGAAAGATAAATGTACAGATTTAAACAATTTTGTCATGAACCACATTTTACTGAACTATTATCTATGCAGGTCTGCAAATTACATGAAAGCAACTCTTTTAGATTATATGCTTTTCTGACTTTTTGTCTATTTCTATAATTTAGATTGAAATCTTCTTAAATTATTTACTTGTATGAATACTTTCGAAACATAACTAAAAAACAATTTTTATTAAAAAACCCTATACACAGCATAGTAAGTACACTACATAGGAGAAACACTGAAATGGAAATTTATACATGTCAATGCATTTTTATACATTTATTTTGAAAATCTAAAAAATACGCCACTGACTTGAGAATTTGTGGAGGAAAAGAAAAATTAAAGGTGTGGTTTTGCAGAAAAGCTGCTGCTAACTAAAGTCAAGAATTTCAGACTTATTTTGTCCCTGTAAAGATACAGGGAATAAAATAAATAAATATATAAGTAAATAAAAATCTATATAAATTTAGGGAGACATAAAAAACATAGAGAAACCTTCAGCAAGATAGAATCTCTTTCAAATTTATCAGCAATTAAGTATCCAGTGTAGATTCCTACTGAAGCCACATGGAAACTAGTAAAAAAAGATTGATTGTCAGTATCATTCTTCCTCAATGATCATGCCATTACAGAAGATTCAAATTTAACACAGTTTATAGTGTGTGTGGCTAGTCAGTAGGCTAACTCTAGAAAGATATTCTTTCATAGCTGTCTTCTAGCTCTAGAACATCAAAACTCAGATTAGTGGCATTCATTATTAGAAAAAAAAATGATCACATAAACATATTTCATGCATTCAGCCTTCAAACTACTCATCCTGATAGAAAAACTCATTGGAAAAAAAAAAAAAAAAAAAAAACCAAAACAAAACTGTAGGGAGCTAAAGTGAAACACTATTTGTACTTTTACCAGCAAGAGTCCATATTGCAGCAAATCATGATCTATTTTAACAGATTTTCATAAAAATATCTAGTCTTTTAAAGCCACGTGTGCATCAGTGCTCCAGAACACTGTTTTCCAGCTTATTATGCTAAATAGTTGCTCACAAAACTGCCTGCATCTAAATTCTGGAGTCACATAGTCTGCTGAGAACCATGCCCAGATGGTAGTTTCACTTGCTAACTTTGCCAAACATGAATAAAACTTCATCTGGAAATCTCAGTATCAGTTTTCCATCTCTAGTTGCTTTTATAAAACATTCAATCATTTCTAAGAAATATCTTTTGGAAAAAAATCTCATTCACAAAATCCACTAGAACTCTCAAAGTGAAGTTTGGTAGCATCTTGAAGCTTTGAAGAACAGATGTTATTTCAATGTGCAAATATTGTTTCAATGTGTAAACACACAAGTAAGTTTACACACAATCTGTAAACTGGATTTTCTAAATCTGAGTAACTTAATTTCAGATCTGTAAAACCTTAATAGTTACATTCTTTAAGATTCCATATGCACTGGGTATGCAGTGTACTACTGAAAAGACTGATGTTGATATGTTTTGACTACTAATCACATGGAAAAAGATGTAATTTAAAATGAATGCTGCTTACTTTGAGAGAAACAAAGATATCTGATCCTCCAAACATCAATGCCCATCTACTTATTCTAAGCAAATTGTTCAACCTGGTATGAAAATGGATCAATTTCCTGACCTACAAATAAAATGCATTTTTAACATTGCCGCTGTTTTTACAACCCGTGTTCTGCATCTGTTCAGCTTAACATTAAGAATTATTTCAACTATTTCATTACTTTGTTGGTGTGTGAATGACTACTAGATACTATTTTCTTTATATCTATTTTGCTTGATATTTGAAACATGCTTTATTTTGTTAAAAGTTTATCAACAACAGCCTCTATTTAATACTCTCTTCCCATAAAATTGGATTAATATCTGGCATGCAACACAGTGGCAGACTGCTGAAGGATTATAATTTAAATCTGAAATACAAAACTTTTGAATTAAAAATACTCTGCCAAAGCAGAGATATCTTAATAAAGAAAATGTTTTTTTCAATAAAATGCAGAAATAAGATGCTTACATATACAACTGCACTCATGGTTATTATGCTCCACGTAACACTAAAGAAATAACAAAACAATTCTACGTGACTGAACCTGCAAAAAAACAAGGAGAAATTATTTGAGTTATTAAGTCTTACCTGACCAGTGTCCAGTGGTGGAACCTGATCTGTCAGTACATGTCTCGCTCACGGGCCTAAATACAGTCTCCCAGCCACCGGTAGCATAGCGCCAATTCTGGGACTCCAAAATAAGCGTTCGCTGAGTGCCGTAAGCGATCATGAAGCAGTAAACTACATGATGAAGTTGACAACCATAGCCACAGCCTTTGTTGATATTACACACAAGTTTCTTAGCTTTGCTGCAATCCTTCGGGTTCTGTAAGGATGGATGAAAAAGTGAAGCTGAAGACAAGATACGCACAAAGGCGTACTTTTTTTCCTGAAAAACTGACAAATGTCATAAATCACACGAGCCATCCTGCTATAATACATCTCATATTAAAATGGATGAGTAAGCTTCAGCTGCATGAAAATTTTATGTGAATTTTTCACTGTGAACGTGAACAGTTATTGAACATACTTCACTATCCTAATGTAAAATAGAATACCTTCAAGATTTTAAATTACTTTCTCATTTGTGAATCTGTCAGAATAAGCCAACATTTGGACTCAGAGTTCACATTTCATCAACATGATTTTCAGTGTTGGAATGTATATTCCTTTGGCATTTTTCCAAGTTTGTTAGTTCTGTTACAATAAGCATGGATGTCATCCAACAAAAGAAAATTTCCACCTGCCTACATGGTACAGAATAAAATAAATGCTTATTAATGGACTACTTCCCAGACTAGCTGACCACATAAACAAAGGAGAGAATTTTAATCTGCATGTACTCTCTATAAAATAATATACTTCACTTCCACAAACCAAGAAACCATAACACAGGAGGCAAATGCCTACATTATATGAATGCTATGTTTAAAAGTACAAACTAATAAATATTTTTATATATGTGGACAACACAACAACATAATCAACAAAAGTTTTTCTTGCTGTAAAATACAGTGCTTCGCTGTACACATTCATGCTTGCATGCTTCCAGACATACTTCTAAATTCCAAAAAGGTTGTCCATAGAATCTCCAGAATGAAAGTTAGTTTCAGATAAGATGCAAGAATACCGATATTTGAGCATCAATATAAATTCTGTTCCTCTCACATCTAACTTTAAATAAAATTTTCAGTAAATTTGCAACAAATCAAATCAAGTTTTTACAAAAAAAAAAAGATCTCTGTCTGGAGAACTGAGATCCCTCCTTCAAGTGATCTTAAAGATAGTCTGAATATTCTGAGTACTAAAATATTTTAAAAAAAATTTAAAAATTGTGAATTCAGTTGTGTAAAGGAGGGGAGAATAATTCAGATCTGGGAAATAAATTAAAAAATACCAAACCAAACTCCAAACCCTACAACATGTGCTATAAATTCAGCATTTTATTTTTTTCATTTTAAGGAAAATACATCTGATTCAAAGCCTACCTAGGTATGAAAACAATAAATTAAACAAAATTTCCATTCCTTATTTTTGTTCCTCAGACCAGTACTTCTGCTATCACAAATTTAAGGGATAACTTGAGACTAAATCTATCTTTGAAACTATAACAAATGTACTTCTCACAGTTTTTCCAGAGAGAAAGTGGGGCTTTATAGTATTCTGTGCAGGTCCTCATAGAAAGAATTCCATGAAACAATACCTGGTCATACTATTAGCAGTACTAGTAGTATATTTTTATTATTATAATTATCATCAGTATTATCATATTTTACTTGGTTTCAGTTATTAAATTGTTCTTATCTCAACCCACGATGAGGTTTCTTTGTGGGATTTTTGTGTATGGTTTTTCGGGGTTTCCCCACCCCTACCCCCAATTCTCATCCCTGTCCCACCAGGGAAGAGGCAGAGTGAGGGAGCCTCTGCATGGTACTTCGTTGCCAGCTGGAGTAAAGCCACAACACTAATTTGAAAGGGATAATCTCTGAGAATTTTTAGAAAATATCAATAGGTAACATTTTCTACACTTGCAATTACCTTCAAATGCCTGTGTCCTCTTGAAAATTAAAGCATTTAATTGATGGCATATTTGAGTTTTGTCTTTTATAAGGAGTGCCCTTCTAACTTTGTTTCAGGAAAATGTAAGAGTTATATAATAGTTATGAACAATATTACAGAAATCAAGTAGGAATCACATAATGAAACATAATAGTGTGACTGCTTATCAATGTTAATATAATGCACTTACTTGGGTTTTAACATTATTCAAAGACTTAACTAAAAACTATATATAAATATTAGTTTGTGACAAACATGAAGCTAGTTAAGCTAATTTCTTTATGCCTGTGGGTTTTTTCAAATTGCTATACTCAAATAGCAAAAAGACAAGGCAATATTTGGGCTTCAATTACCTATTGAGAATTTAAAAAGAAAGGGAAGCAGAGAAACTTATATATATTGCAGTTTCAACTGGTATTTCCTGGAAAAGGTGGAATTATTAACCATCGATAAGGAAGAAAAATTACATTGCATCAGAACAGCTTGTGTGTTCATTAGCCAAAACTGCCATAAGCAACCCATAAAGGTACTGAGCTGATAAAGGGTAACAGCCAATTTCAAAACCAGCAAAGACTGACAGAAGATTTTTCCTCCTGGCCCAAAGTCACAGAAAAGGATTATGTTATTTTTGACTTGAATGAGCAGTGCACTCTGTTCTCAACCGTAACAACACTGCTCATGACAGACTCCAATATCCAATTAAACGGTCTACATAATCAAGAGAGGGGTGGAAGGGACCCCTAGGAATGTCAAGCCCCGTAACGTTTAAGCCACACAACTGCGTTAAAAACAAACACACACATACAAAAAAAACCAAACCCACACAAAATCCTAAACAAACAAAAACCCTGCAACTGACCAATCACACAAAACATACTGCAATATGTAGAAGATTGGATTATCAAGCCATGCCAGAGTTTACACCTTTTATTTTTTTTAGAATTACTTCTATGAACAGTGCAACTGAAAATAGTAACATTTTCAGAATAGTAAAATGGTTAAAATTATAAATTTCTATGTAAGAGAATGTCACCTAAAATTAAAATGGATTCGTATAACTGGCAAAATGGATTTGATGGTCTTTCATCACAAATAACATGGGCATACACTGTTGCTCTTACAAAATTCAGGGTTTCCACTGTATTCTTCTCCAGGGCTTTTGGTTGGCCTACTCACAGAAAGTAGGATCAGATGGGAACGATGTCAGAAGTGCCTCAATGTCTCACCACCTTCCAGTGTTTTCAAGTGTGCAGTTAGCCATCAAAACACATGACAAACTGGCAAAAGTAAACTCTTCTCCTTAACATACATTTTACTACACAAAAAATGACTGTGGTTTTTGTAAATTTAAAACCGTTCAGAGAAGTGTACTTGATCCAACAAATCACAGCAGGATAGAGTGGAGCAGGCAAGCAGTCTGCTACAAATTACTAAGTAACCTCATAAACACAGTATGATGTTCATTAAGAAAGCTGTTCTTTCTTATATTTTCAATAAGTATTTTATTCCTTGATGCTACCCAGTCTGCTGGAAGAGACAGTCCCACCCAAAATCTGTGAAAAAAATTTTTTTTTGAGAGAATGATGTCAAGGAAGGGTGTTTCTTATCCTAGTTATCACAAATGTAGTTCACACCATCTTCTATTGCCCTTTCTTTATGATGCCACTTGTAATGGTTCTTTTTCATATCAGCTCCCCTTAAGACTTTGGTGACGAAAAAAATCCAAACAAACAGAAAACTAAACAAACGACCAGAAGTTTGCCTGAGCTGCTGGAAGAAAATGTTCTTCTTTCCCTAGTCAGAAATATTACATATTTGATTTGAGAGACAGAGATTTTTATCTGTCTCTAATGTTAATTCCTCTAGTTTGCACCTACTCTCCTACAACACACAAGCTTCAGCTGGAGTAAAACATTCCAGTATGCAGATGGACTAACCACACTACACTCCTCAATCCACTAAGTAGAAATTCTAGAGAAAACCTCATATAAATATTAGCAGTGATCACACTTTAAGTGGTTATTATCCTAATGCCATAATATCAGATACTGAATTTACTAAGTAACCTTATGAGGAAAACTCAAGACATGTTTCAAGACATTCAAAAATCAAATAATTTTTCATTTTCATGTGATAGAAACAATTCAGTCCCTTTCTAAACACGCATAAAAAGTCAGAAAGATTGGCTCTTTTTAACTCTTTTGTTTCCCTTTCATATCTATTTTGTCCAAAATGTTAACTTTAAAAATGCTTAGATTCATTCATATGCCTAAATTATCTTTTCTAATGTTACAGGGAAGGAACTCTTCCAGTGCTGTGTAATAAATTCAACAATCTAGCAAAAATAGGAAAAGATCTGCAAGATACAAATGAGCTTACAATATCAAAGTGAATTATCAGGATTCTCTATATTTGGAGTACATAGCATAAAACTTTTAAGGATGATGAGTCTATCACAGGGAAACTGAACCACTATATGGTCTGCCTATTAAAGAAATCATCTCTTCTCCCAGAACGGTGCCCATACTGACAGATGGCTAAAATCCTTCGGCTACTGTCCTCCTTCACCATAAAAGTAGTAAAAGCTGATGGAGAATTTTCTATGACAATTTTTCTACTATGTGTTTCAAATTAGTTTGAATATATCAACATCAACAACACAGTATAACTATACTACAAGTTGTTTCTCATGAGTGAAGTGGAATAACTGGGAAAATATAAAATACATTTGATTTGCTTGATTAAAGGATACACGTTTACACTTTTCAAGACTTACAGTTGTGAGAGCATCCTTTTGCATGTATGCAAAGTGCCCAGAGCCTTTTTTTATTGTTATTGTCATCTTAGTATGAGCACTTTTATTAAGAATATGTATCAGTAATTTTAATGTAAGGGAGAAAGGATTTAATATACTTTAAGACAGAAAAATCTAAGTGACACATTAAATCACCAAAAATACAGGGAAACCTAGAAACCTCTGAATAAAATCTTGTAAGCAACTTGCTTTTTTTTGCATACATACAAACCTCCAAATAAATAGCATAAATATGGCAAACTATGACTAATATAACTGATGTGTTGTTGAGTACTTAGCAACCTTTCTCACCTGCTTACATTTTTAACCTTCAAAGCTGAACAGAAAGCTCTGATTTTTTTTTAAACAAAGGCAAAAATATTCTGCTACTGGGAGACTGCACGCTGAATCAGAAACTTCCTAAAATAAATAGAACAAAAATAAGCACAAAAGGGAAGAGACAGAAAACTGCTGCTCTCGTAATCATTTACTCACTTGATTACAGTACTACAGGTGCCCTTGTCTCTTGCACCTTCTCTTCAACTGTTTGATAATAAACATCTCTGAAAATAAGTTCTTTTGCTTAAATGTAAGTTCCTAGCTTTTTAAATGTTGCTCTAACTACAGGGAACTAGTTACATGTAGCCTCATTAAATCAAATTTATGGTAATGTTATCCAAATGAAGTAGCAGTCATTGCTATTCACAATCATTCAGCTAAATGACTTCCCAGGGAGATGTCCCAAAATAATGCAGCTGTCACTGTTCAACACGTACCAGAAAAAAGCTACACAGTCCTTTCCTACTTAACTAAAATAAAAAATTACAAATATGTTCTATATAATTCTTTTTGGCATTGAGTTGAGGGGCAAGGGTTTTTGAATTTTTAATTCGATTTTATTTTTTAATACAGGTATATTATTAATAAAGGGGTATATATGTGTAATTTCAAACCATGGACTGCTTTACATTGCTGTTTATTTGCTAAACCCAAGAACTTAGAACTCTTTTGATGACTTGCACAGTCACTATAATAAAAATATCAACATTTATCAAAGTTAGAATTACATTTTTTGGAAAATATGTACTGCCCTTCCTCAACTTAAACCACAAAGACAATTACAAGGAAACACATGTCCCTTCTTTATGGTTTCTAGACCCTTTCATACGAAATAGTCATATGGAATTTCATGTGCAGCAGTAATACCTCTGCATGTTTCCAACTTCACCAGTGATGATTTATTAAAAATACAAAACAATGTAATTTCCTCTGTAATAATAAAAAGAGGGAAATACTAATTTTTGTGTTTCTCAGTGTCGAGATGGACCCATAATGATTAAATTCATATTTTAAATGCATAAATATGAAAAAAACATGCTTTTTCCATGACCAAAATTTTATAATTGACTGCTTTTTAATAAATTTATAAATAAAACAAAAACAAAATGGTCTGTATGAAGTAAATTGATCCAAGTATGTCAGACCTATTTCCAATTCCAAATCTAATACCACAGCTTTCTGTAAACCACCTGCTCATGCTCATCAACATGTTTTCTTCTGAAGATAATGAGGATAAAGATAGCTACTTCTCTTGGAAGTGCCTGAGGATATAATAAATTTCCTAAAAGACTTAACTACTTGTACTACTTGAAATGTTAGGATTCTGTATGTGTTGTGACTTGGCATTGGTTTCACTCTTAATATTGCTTCTACTTTTTTTTTTTTTAAGTGAGAAAAAATTAGCTCAATAAAGAGGAAAGTCCATTATCATAGATTATATGCATCTAAATAAATTTTAGGAGCACCTGACTGGTCTTCCAGCTCTTCAGTCAGTAAGTAAATTTATTTCAACTTCACTAGAAAACAATGTACACATTTACCTAATGCTTCAATTTTGAGCTTCTGCTCTCCTAAGCAACTTTTATTCTTGTTATTCATTATACATACTTGGAGGTCCTAATCTTGAACTCTATCCTGACCATTGTAAAACATACAATAGGAAGACAATCACCTTTCAGAAATATAAATATGTCTAAATAAGACAACAAATGGATACCATGCAAGAAGAGGAAAAGGTAGAGAAAGACTATATTTATCGGCATGAAAAGTAGTTACAGTATACCACTGCCAAACAGTGACATCAAAAATGAAAGAATGAGGAACAGTTCTCGGGAAAGAGTTGAAGGAATACAATAAAGTGATGACTCCTGCATAATTTACAGGGATGTTTTTTCCTCAGAAGGGTGCCTTTTTTTATTTAACAAGCAACAAATACATAGTTTGGTCACAGAAGATTCCAACAGGTGAACTGTGAAATAATGAACATCTCAGAAACAGATTCAGCTATTTACACAAGAGAAAAGACTAGGCATTAGGAGTGACCATACAATACAGGTGCACACATGCCACAAAAAATAAACCAAGTACAAATAAAACAGATTACATTAAATATCTTTTTGATCACTACATAAATAGCTGCATGCATTCAGACATGAAAAAAAGTCCCAAAACCTTCAGAACAAGTTTTATTTAAATTTATACACACACACAAGCACATGCATTAAAAAGGTCTTATGCACTCAAAATATGAGCATCTATGAGAAGTCTCACACATCTGTTGAAACAGTCTAGACAATATACTATACAAGCACTTCAAATTTGCATACTCGTGTTTTTAAAAACGGTTTTGTTCAGAAGTTTGATACGAGGACTTTTATATTTCTGTTTTAAACAGCGTGCAAACATATTTTTGAATTATGACACTCTAAGGATTAAAAAAATAAACCGGACTTATCTTTTATAATAAAACAAGGAATTCAAACAGCTAAATACAGCCCATTGAAAACCACAGATCCAAAAAAATAACCACACACACAAGGAAACAAATAACCAACAACAAAAGTCCAAACCCTAAAGATTTCCTTGAAATACTATCTTCCATATACATATAAAATATATGTTTGAAACAAATGTTATAATTTCTTCTCTATGTATTTCATTCATATAACAACATTTATTTTAAAACATTGTGTAATTACTCTATTACAAGGGCACAGCTAAGTGCTACATACATAATAATAAAAAACGTTTACAGAATCACAGAATATGCTGAGTTGGAAGGGACCCACAAGGATCATTGAGTCCAATTCCTGGCCCTGCACAGGACCATCCCCAAGAGTCACATCATGTGCCTGAGAGTATCATCCAAACACTTCTTGAACTCTGTGAGCCTCAGTGCTGTGACCACTTCCCTGGGAAGCCTGTTTCAGTGCTCAACCACTCTCTGGTTGAAGAACCTTTTTCTAATATTCAGCCTAAACATCCCCTGACGCAACTTCAGGCCATTCCCTCGGGTCCTATCACTTGTCACCACAGAGAAGAGATCAGTGCCTGCCCCTCCTCTCCCTCTCATGAGGAAGTTGTTACTGCCATGAGGTCTCCCCTCAGTCTCCTCTTTTCCAGGCTCAACAGACCAAGTGACCTCAGCTGCTCCTTATACACCTTCCTTATACACCTTCACCATCTTCATTGCCCTCCTTTGGTCACTCTCTCATAGCTTGACTGAATTACCTTGATTCAAAAGCGCTATTCTCTTACCTGTAAATAAGTTATTCTCCTCTGTACCAAATCTGTTAGATCTTTGGCCTCTTTTTCTCGCCAATCTCCTGCTCCATCTGTTTGACTGAGGTAGTACAAGTCGGTCATTATTGACCTATAAGCAAAAATGGAAAACAATCTTAAAAAAAACGGGAAACAAACTTGGCATTACTAAATCGGAGGATTAAATTAAAGATAAACTAAAGTGATATTTCAATTGTAGCCTCAAAAACAGTTTCTTCATGCCACCTCCTACTCCACAATTCAAACAGCAACCAAGAAAGATTGAGTGTGTCCTTCATCTAATGTATGTTCCATACCCATGTATTAAACAGGAGATGGGTTGGAAAAAAATCTTAGGCATAAGACTTGCTTGATACAAAGCATTTGGATTTGGTATGTGCCAAAGCAAACTAAAAGGAAAGCACAGTTCCATGCTAGATACATTATCCAGTGGTGCCACATGGAAATGCAATAGTGATTGCTACAATACCTTCTATTATAATGCATTGTTACTTTTCCTCTTGCAATTATCTTACTATGCTTGTATAGAATATATTATTACAAGTGTCTTTAGCACAGGTACAACATTTCTTCTATTTCTGTTAATGAAAAGTAACTACAGGATATTATTACAAGGTTTAGTAAGCAGTATGTTCTATAATATGGAGCTCCTTCCGATTCTGGAAGGAGACAGCAGTGTTCCACCTGCTTACAATGACTTCATGCCACTAATACTCAAATAGAAAAGAAATAAAAAAATTAAAAATTCTAAACAGACTCATGGCCATACAAGTCCATATTACAAAAATTGAATTTTGATGAACTATTAAATACTAAATTGAGGTTATGTAATACACTAGAGATTCTCTTCTTGGGGTTATAACATTTCATTTGCCAAATAACAGAATAAAGAATATCTTGTTATGAGAAGATAAATAATATATGGCATTTATTTGTTAAAATTAGTCAGATTATTTAAAATTACTGATTTTGTGAAAAAGAGTTCAAACAGTACCATCTAGGAAAAGATTTTTTTTTAATCTCTGTGGCTTTTGGGAGGAAATACTAAACGAGAGGCATATTATTTAAAGTGTTTGTTAAAACGTTAATGGTTATTCTAAAAGTAAAAGGTAGCCCAATTCAGAACTAATAATTTCAGAGTTGGTTTCACATATTGAGAATATTTAAAATTGCTAAACACTTCTCCATAACAATGCTAAAGTTTTAACTTTGCACCACATTTCTTAATATTTTCATCTGAACTTTAGATGTTGCAATTTATTGCCTGAAATTCTAGATAAACCACAAGTTTAATCCCTTGTGAGAAAGAGATGCAACAGAACAAAGGCAGAGAAATTTGGGAAGTGACAAAAAAGGAGTATGAGGATAAGAGAAGTATATTTCATAACAATGTGTGAAGGTCCCGTTGTTGGCAGTACCTGTTAGTACTGGAAGCACAGAGGTAGTTAGCTAAGGCAAACAAGCTTAGCAAGTGAGAGAGGAGCAGACTGTGTATCCCTATTAAGGTAACTATTTCCAGTGACACAGTATATAAGCAATAAACACTGAAATAAATCAAATTGGAACAGGCCTATCTTTATCAGCAGAGTTATCATACAGAGTTCTCCTGCTAATAACCATATTCATGGATCTGTAGCTTTTCACTCTCATACACTCTCATACACACATTCTGGCCTTAACACCCACGCTTCTACACAGGGTAGCAGTGACACTGACCTATATAGCATCTAATGTTGTTGTATCACATATTATACCCAAATTGTTCAGCAGCAGTAACCTTCACCTTCTGCCAATCAACTGGAAGAACTTTATCTACATTCTAATCTCAAACAATATAAACTGGATTTTCTTTTGCATGGTAATTGAGCTTGAAACACCCTATTGCAGTTTTGCAAACAAATAAACCATTTAAAGTATCATCAGGTAACTAGTATTAAACCAGTAACTATTAAAGACACATAATACTCAAAGTAATGTGCAAACACAGTTTAGGGAAAATTAGAACAGAATTAATGATGGAGTAAACCTAATATAATAGATTATACACAAATAACAGATAAAGAGTCTGCTGCTCTTAAGACAGTGTTTTCCAATTTACAGAAAGCATTTAGGTTAGTAGACATATTAGAAAGGGAAACCCACGTACTTTCTTGGGAGTTTAAATATATTTTTCTTCCCAAATGGGATGCAACCATTTTGGGTGTTTAAAGACAAAATATAAATTTAAGGTCTAAACACTAAAAAATCTTCTATCATTAAAAGCAGCTGTGCAAGCACACAGTCATATTTTAAACAATTTTCAAATGCTCTTTCACAAGCCTTAAAAAGGGTCTTTTGTGTACTTCTGATGTAAGTAACCAGTATAGCCTCCTTTTACTTGATAGAAATATACTTCTATTAAATATTGACATAAAATAACTGAAAATATAAAGCTTACCAATTAAAAAACATTCTCTCTCAGATCTTAAGTAATTTTTACTATTTCTACAGAAAAAATTGTCTAAATTTTATATTATTGACCATGGTGTCCATAGCAAAGGAAAGGTAGTAAGTAACTTTTAATAATCAGCCTTACAGATGAAATATAATTATTTTCCATCACTGCTGAGGTAAGACAAATGATGAGAGAGCTGTTATACAGCCTCAGTGGCTTGAGACTTTAGGTAAAGGCAGCTTTGCTCACTACAAACCATAAAGAATATCAAATAATTTGCAGGAAATTTTTATGAATTCATGAAAGAGTTTTCAGATAGTACCCACAGTCTTTAAAAAAAAATTATAAAATTCTGAAGTAAACCAGGAACTGAAAAATTAATAGGTTTTATCACACAGAAATTATTATAAAGGTAGTTCTATTTTAGGACACAGTCATAGAGACCTTCTTTCTTTGATTGTTACTACTGAGAAATGTGCATTTTTAAGTTTACATCTGCTAGGGTTTTTTGAGTGTGACCACCATGAAGGCTTATTAATGCAGATTTAGAAAAGACACAAACAGCAAAGACCAGGGTCAGGGGCCATGTAGAGAGTTAAAAGTAGATGGACCGGTGATTCATGAGCCCAGGATAGGCAAGGGCAGACAAAAGATTAGCCTGCAAAGTATTATTAGAGGCTACTGCAGGTGGTAAAATGCAGAAAACTTCAGACAGTGGCATTGCAGATATTTAGTATCACACTTGGTCTTTCATTATGCTACTAACCAACCATATCAATTAATTGTTATTGTTGTTTCACATCATAAAATAAATCTTGGACCTGCTCTGAAAAGCATTTTTCTCCTGCAAAGTATAATGAAGGAAAAAATCTGGCTATATATTTCATATGCATTTGATTGCCAAAATAAAGGGAGGGAGAGTGGGCATTTTTAATAATCAGTCTAGACAATTATTCCAGTCATAAGGCAAAATTACACTTAAATCTCCTAGGAATTTTACATCAACAAATAAAAACTAAAAGAAAAATCTGTGATTCAATGGAAATAATGTGAAAATTTGTCCAAACATTATGCATCAAATGTTGGCCAAATACCACAAAATCCCTGCTGACAGCTGTTCCCCAGGAGGAGAAGGAATGAAACTAACTCAGTAACAGCCACCTTGTCAACAAAGGAAACAACCATGACAACTACAGCATTAATTTGCTCTTTTTTATTAACTCTGTATCAAGTAGTCTTTCCAATGTTAAGATGAAGTTACTCTCAACAGCTCTCTTCCCTATAGCAACGAGAAGAACACAATTATGTAATTCCCAATGCAGAAAACTCTGTGTTGGGCAACGTTGTTTTTCAAACAGAATCGGTAGTGAAATACTTCACAAAAACATATGCGAGACTGGCAGTCTCTGAGGGAAAAATCTACACAGCCCCTAGGACACAGCCAACAAACAGTGATTAAGGTATCCAATAAGAAGCACTACCTTACTTATCTCTTTCCTTACGAAACTATCTCATCATTTGATCACTACCCACCTCTTTTATTTGCTTTCCCACATAAGGACAGCATGACAGACTGCTTTAAGTACTTATAATTAACACTAATCTTTCTAATTCAAATATTAAAATATGTATTAAAATTTCTAAGATATCTATTCATGTATATTCATGTATAAATATATAAATAAGTAATACCAGCTTCACTTTCAGTGTTCCATTCAAGTAAGACAGCACTTTTTAAGACAGCACTGTCAATGAAAGGGCATTTGGTAACTCGTTTAATGCCTTTAAAAAAATTCAAGTGCACATATACTTAAAAAAATTAAACCAAAAGAACAAAAAAAACCCAGCAATAACAAAAAAACCCCAAACACTAAAAACCTGTTATTCTCGGAGTGAATGAGAGCATCTCATTTGCTCGTTCCAAACTTATGCTATGTTCCTTTCAGGAACAGAGACCAGATGGACTGTGTGGAGGGAAGACGAGACCGCTCCTTCCCTGGGGAGCTCCTGTGCATTGTGAGGGCAAAGAACACTCCAGAGACAGCAGTGCATCACATGCCAAAGGATGTGCACACAAAGAACTGGGAGTTTTCTGCAACTCACATGGCAAGGTTGAAAGATTAAAGGAAAAGAAGCAAATAGCTTGACCTTAAAGGTGAAAGAAAAAAATTCCTTGGGACTAGAGGCAACCAAGAAGACAAGGTAATATTATTGCTTGAAGGCAATATTGTAAGTACACCAAGAACACAAGTTGAATATTGTAGAAACATTTTTGTATCTGTTTTCTCATATGCAATTCCTTTGAATTTCCATACTGTAAATAGATGGTCTACATTTTAGTTTAATAAAACCTAGTTTCTGGCTGTTTGGCTTTAGCTTCAATAACTTTAGTTTTCTTTGAGGACCTCACCATACAGTAAGGTCTACACAGATCTACTACTAAGACTCAAGAGACTCCAGGATATTCTGCTTTTGATAACCACTGTGACAGTCAAAAGAAAACATGTATTCAACACAAAAATTGTCAAATTAAAAAAAAAAAAAAAAGTGGATGCGATTGCTTGTATCATATACAAACTTCTTCCAGTACCACAGTGGTTTCACACTTCCACACTGGGATTCATCTCATAACTTTTAAAATTCAATGCAAGGGAGCATTTCTAGAATGGGTTTCACCTCATCCTTAAGTACAGAGAGATGTGAACATAAGGCTGTCAGACATACAGATACTTGCAAATTGGGCTTATTGAATTAATAGTCATCGGTGTAGAAAGGAAAAGGACTCATCCTGGGAGGCAGGGACATAAAAACCTTCTGGCATCAAACACACATTATTCAAGGTTTCACTGTGATGACTGCCTCATCCTGGCTTTAAAAACAGGGCAAAAATGTGTACACAAGTGATTTTATTACCATGATGAACATCAGAAAGTCTGGCATTAGACTACTTGCTCCAGTTTTTGGCAGAGATAGTTTAAAAAGTACGTAAGAATCAATGACCTGTAGTCCAAGAAACACAAACAGAAATAACTTCTATGAAGAACAAATATTTCTGAGGGGAGATAACTGTAGAAAAAACTGTCCAAGGAAGTCGCAGATTCTCTGTCAGTTCAGTGTTCAACTGAAGATCTCAAGTCTTTAGGAAAATTCTACTTCAGCCAAGCACTACTTTTATTTCAGTCAAACATACATAGCTGCACTTGAGTGAGAAATAATTGGATGAAATTTGATCACATCTTTTATATGAATAATAATTCTCAACAATTGAATAGTCCCTTCTCACTTTCAACTCAAACTGTGACAAACTGGATTTTGGGATTGTGGAATATTAAATTACAAAACTTAATGGACTATATTATTTGCCCCCATTGATAATCATAAATAGAAATAAATACATGTTATCTTTAAACTATGTTTTAAATAGTATTTAAATTATTTCTAAAGAATTGAAAATTCTTACCATTTTTCCCCTTTAGTACAGTATTATTTTCAAAGGCTCATGCTTTATTACTGATGCTTACACAGGCAGATCGCAGGTTTTTTTGGGAAATTGATATTTGTTTAAGATGGTATATCTAGTTAATTCAACTATTTTCTTATAACTGTTTACTGATAAGACACAAACTGTCACAGCAATCCTGTTGGGAACAGAGTTATAAACATAATATGCTTAAAGACAGATTTCATTGAATTTTTAACAGTTTCTGGATTAATTTTGTTCAGCATGAACAAAACTCATACAGAATATTTTAATATGATACAAAAGGTACTCCAACAATGCGGAGGCCAAAAGATTGACAACAACTAAAATATAAGTTCCAATGCACCTTTGAACAACATAACAACAGTTTAATTAAAAGTCAAAATCAACTAACAGAAGTACCTTTCCTGATGACCCAAATCAGACAGAAATTCATCAATGCGTGTTTGCAGTTCACTTCCTTCTAGATTTTTCAATTTCTTCAGCTCACTCTGGAGGAAAAACCAAAGTTCCTTAGCCCCATTTTCAATCCTCCTCCTCAGTATTTCATGGTCTTTTCCAAGGCCTTCTATTTAAAAAAAAAAAAAAAATCAAAAAGGCATAAAAGCATCAGTAATTGTAGCTTTTTTTTAAGGGTTTATTTGTTAAGAAGCCAATACATTTGTGATATGAACCAAAACACCAAAACTTGTTTCAGAAGTAAAAGAAAACTTATCTACACACCATCTCCTGTCCGCTTCTTATAGTTTTCTATTTGTTCTTTGGCCTTTAGAAGTTGCTCCTCTAAAGCATGTACCTTTCCTGCAGCTGGTCCCTGATCAATGGGACCATCTGGTATCCTAGGATATAGAAAATAAAAAAGTCATATCACTTATAATTACTTGATAAATTATTTGCATTAACAATTTAACTCTCCTCTCACTTTTATGCCATACTGATTTACTGATAAACCTTGGTCATATTTTCTTAAAACCAAGAAGAAATTAAACATATTAAAGATTTTAAAACCTCGATCCCATAGAAGAAAAACAGTGCATAACACAGCTGCAGCATACAGATTCAACCTGATGCTAAACTGTGTTGTTTACAAGACTTTCACTCACTGACAAGAACAATTCCAGGCTCTGCTTGTGAAAATAGTATTTGTGGCAGCTTAACAACCATTTGTTGAACTGACTGGCATGCAAACAAAGCCTAATCGACAGAGGTACCTTCACAAGACTCAAGTTCTGACTACTTTTTATATTCACACATAAAGTACATTCTGCTCTTGAATGCTGGCCATATATTCTTAGAGAACCAGAGCTCCAGCACTTCAACTGCACTCTTAAGTCTTCCTACACATTTGCACGAGATTATTTCAATGTATTTTCTGTACTCAGAACAAGATCCAATCTTCTTAAATTTATCATAATGATGATTTTTTTATGACAACTCTAGTATTTTAAACTGTTGGTCACCAAAAACAACACCAAACAACAGCAATTGTAACTTCCAGTTATGAAATCTCTGGTATGTGAACACAGGAAAAGTATGGAAATACATATCATGAAATCTATGAGCCATAAATCAGCCCTGAGGGTATTACTGAGGTTTGTTCATCATCCAAACTTGAATTCATATATTAATAAACTGAAATTATTAAATTTTATTAATCAGATGCAAACTTCTATTTGCCTCACAAATTTAACGTAGGGAAAGTAAAAATCCTTTCCATTTCAAGAGAAATTACACTTCTGGTTAAAAATTATTCCACCTTTTATTAGCTTTTGTAAGAGCTGACCCTGAAAAGGATTAGAGGAAGCAGATGTGCAATGAAAAGTCTTGAGAACTGCAAAGAATACAGAATTCTTGCAGAACATGAAGACGATTCTTCATTTGTAAGGGAATATGAGCATAAAAAGAAACAGATATTCTCTCTACCCACAAACACACAGTTTCAAGGCACCGTATAGGAAGACGCCTTGACAGGTAAAAGATGCCTTTAGCATAGAGAAAACAGTAGTTTGAGGGAGCATCTTCACTGTAAAAAAGAAATGACAGCATTTTAAATATCCAACTGCGATGTCATTAACTTTAAGGTCTCTCAGATCTAGATAACTAAACATCAATAAAATTTCAGGAATTGATGAAAAGTTCCTTTCCACTGGAACAGTTGAAGGGAATAAAGAACTGATATGGGCATCAGAAAGTTGTATCACATAAAGCACAGCATTTAAGCCCTTTTTTCAGAAGGGGGTGGGAGAGGTGGAAGAGGAAGCTACGTAGCTTGAAAGAAATTTAGTAAAAATTCTATTAAAGCTGTTAAAGCTTCCTGTTGAAAGCAGATATGTGTTTTAAAGCTACATATTGTGTTTCTGTGGCCAGGTTTTGGTAGTGGGGGGGCTACAGGGGTTGCTTCTGTGAGAAGATGCCAGAAGCTTCCCTCATGTCCGGTAGAGGCAATGCCAGTCGGCTCCAGGACGGACCCACCACTGGCCAAGGCCAAGCCAACCAGGAAAGATAGTAATGCCTCCGTGATAACAAGAGAAAAAAGAAGGAGAAAAAGTTATTGGGTAGATGAAAATTCCAGCCAGAGAAGAGCAGAATGAGAACATATGAACAACAATGCAGACACCAAGATAAATGGAAAAGGAGGAGGTGCTCCAGGACCAAAGCTGAGGTTCCCCCACAGCCCGTGGTGCAGACCATGGTGGAGCAGCTGTGCCCCTGCAGCCCATGGAGGGCCACGGGGATGCAGAGATCCACCTCCAGACCATGGAGGAGACCCACACTGGTGCAGGTGGGTGCCCAAGACAGAGCAAGGCCCTGGCAGGGACCTGCTGACCCACGGAGAGAAGAGCCCATGCTGAAACAGGCTTTCCTGGTAGGACCTGTGGCCCTCTGGGGGACTCACGCTGGAGCAGCCTGTGCCTGAAGGACTGCACCCTGTGAAAAAGTGACCCACATTGCAGCAGTTTGTGAAGAACTGTTGCCTGAGGGATGGACTCACACTGGAGAAGTTTGTGAAGGACTATCTCCCATGGGAGGGACCCCACGGGAGCAGGGGAAGGACTCCTCTCCCTGAGTAGCAGCAGAAACAACTGACCAGAACCTCCATTCCCCGTCCCCCTGCACTGCTGGGGGGGAGGAAGTAGAGCTTGGAAGGAGGGAGGGGTGGAGGGAAGGTGTTTTTAAGATTTATTTTACTTTTCATTCTCCTGCTCTGACTCTGTTATTAATAAATTTAATTAATATTCCCACTTTGAGTCTGTTTTGCCCATGATGGTGATTGGTGAGTGATCTCTCATGGTCCTTATTTACTCATGAATTCCTCGTTATATTTTCTCTCCTCTGTCCAGTTGCAGAGGGAGTGAGAAAGTGGCTTTAGTGAGTACCTGGCATCCAGCCAGGGTGAACCCACTAAAAGATACCATGATAAATAAAATGCAATTATCATTAACTGCTCATATATCTGCTTTTTTATGCACTGAGAGAACAAGTATGTAAAAACTGAGTAAAATATTCTAATCTTAAACATGTGGACTCTCTAAATATACTCTATCAACAATCCATTTGTGAATTTCTTTCTACAACAAATTTACAGTATACAAACTTTTAAAAAGTATATTGAAAGACATTTAAGCTCTTACAATAGTTTAAAACCACCAGATTGAAATGTATCTGCTGACTTGGTTCCACAATTTGTATTGTGACAGAACAACTAACTACAAAATTACCAGAAAAAAATGGCTTATCTTGTACAAGTCACATACCCTAAAGGTAGAATCTGTGAAGAACAATAGGGTAAGAGGATACAAAATCATTACCATAAGAAGTCTTAAGACTGCGCACACATCCTCTTCACATAAGGAAAGTCTGTTAAAGTAGTAATTACAGAATCCTACAGAAGGATGGTTGCAGATGATATGAAAGAAGCACAATAATTCTGCTCATTTGATATAATTAAGATCTTAGAAAAGTACATTCCTTTTAACAATCAACTTGCTTTGGCATACTTCAATAAAAATGTTTATCATACTTAGGCTGTTAGATAAAAGGAGTTAGGATGAGGGGGGACATTCTCCAAGCTAGTTGTTTGGACTTTCAAAAATTACATCATTTTAGGATAAAACTAAGATATCTTATGTTTTTTGCAGTTTTGTCTCTACATCTGTTACCTCATTAGACTCGGAATTACTGTCTTCCTCACTTTCATCCAGTCTCAAAATTAAGGAAAAGATTCTTCTCTGCAACCAGCACAGCTTGCCTGTTATTGCCCTCTACAAGTATTTTAACTGAGTTGGAGATAAGACAACATTTGAAGGAAAAGCATTTGAATTAAAATCCTTATCTATTCTCCTGGCGTCATCAATGCAGATAACTTTTAGAGCACAATATCCTAGCAATTATGTGTACTTATTAATAAAAATTCCTGTTGAAAACCAGGAATTCTTACCAAAAGAATTATTACCAGAATAATTCCTGACAACTGAATTGCTCCTTAGAATATAAGAAGTCAGTTTAAAGTAAGTTCATCTAAACTATGACAATCCTAATCAGCAATAAAAAACGTCAGTAAGCATCTAGCACAGAATATCCTTCACTTATTGCTATGACAACACTGTAAATTCAGTTATAAACAGAAAATAAACACAATTATAATTCACTTAAATGGGCAATCAAGTTAATACACCGAGTAGTGGGTTTATTTGAATTCTCAATACTTACTGGTGTGATGATGCACGCTGTTTCCTACCATTTTATAATAAATACAAATTATCTTTTCCATAATCAACTCATCAAATGAAGATATTACTGTATAACTTTAAACATTAAAAAAATTATATCCTAGAGAAACCCTGTTTCTTGCTTTGTCCCTTCTTTAGTAATCCAGCTACATTTTAAGACATGAAAAATAATCCTGAGGCCACTTCACCTTCAGGTAACATAGAGGGACAATGACAAAGTTGTGATCTCTAGTCTGGATCTCTGAAGGCAAAAAGAACCCCTTAAAAATTAATCATAGTGACATTCAATTTAGCTAGAAGAACTGCCATACTATGTAAAAGAATTGTAAAAATAATTTAAAACAAAACATAAATTATAAAAACCATTTAAATCTTTTTCTGTTTCCAAGATATTTAAAAGGTTACCCTAATTTATCAGTAAAAGGAAAAATGTAAGATTTCACAAGTTCACACTCAACTATTTTCTCTTTTTGTTTATACCCAAGATCTTTGTATGAAGCTAGAAGGTTTATAACTCAGTAAAGCCACGTTATGATTGTCTTTTCTTCTTTGGCTTTTTTTTCTTTCCCAAGATGAAAATCACGTTCAATTATTAATGACCACTGACACGAGCAAAAAGAATACAGGTTGTTACTTCACCCTCCTAAGATAAAACCTCCTCAGTAACTAAAACTGAAAGAAAACACTCAATGTTATCTGCAAATAAAAAGCAAGCAGCATCCATTATCAATTTAAATCAGCACAGTCCTAATTAGTGCTGATTTATATCCATTGAAGATGTGTCCCTTCCCTTAATACAGAATTGTACAAAAAACAGTAAAAAGAGCAGAGGTGCACACCATATAGTTCAGCTATCTTCATCCGTTGCAACAGCCTCAGCTTCAAACCTGAGATACTTTAAATACATGTAATAGGAAACCACACTTTAAAAGAATATTTAAGTTTTTATCAACCCAGAGCTATTCATCTATCCAAAACCCTTTCAGTGTTTTCCACAGGCTTACCAGGCCCAGTAACTGCCCAGAATTATGTACTTTTAATAGAGTTGGTAAAGATCAATTGATCTGGAGTTTGGATTCTATACCAGCCCCAGCACTTGCTACTTTAAA